CCGTGGGAGGTGAGAGAACGGCTTCTTGTGTACCAGCCAGAGGACCCATGGGAGGTGAGAGAACGGCTTTTTCAGTGGCTTTTTCGATGCTTCCGAGGCGTTTCCGTGACAGCCGGCGGCTTGAAGCGTGGCTGAAGGGTCGAAAGCGGAAGATGCTTCCGAGGCATTTCCGTGACAGCCGGCGGCTTGAAGCGAAGACAGGGCGTGCTCGACGCTGCTTCACAGACTTTTTTTACGGGTTCCGAAAGCAACGTTATATTCTGGGGCGTACGCGGAGGTCTCGAATTAGATTGTGGAAAGCTGTGGCGGAGGAAATCACTCGGAACAGGTGTCTATAGACCCGTGGGAGGTGAGAGAACGGCTTCGTGTGCACCAGTCTGAGGACCCGTGGTGAGAGGACCCGTGGGAGGTGAGAGAACGGCTTCTTGTGACCCGTGGGAGGTGAGAGAACAGCTTTTTCGAGGCTTCCGAGCTTCACAGACTTATATTACGGGTTCCGAAAGCAACGTTAACGGGTCGAAAGCGGAAGGAAGGGCGTGCTTGACGCTGCTTCACAGACTTGTTGTACGGGTTCCGAAAGCAACGTTAGACATTCTGGGGGCGTACGCGGAGGACCTCTTTCGGGCGATTTTTGGTCTCGAATTAGATTGTGGAAAGCTGTGGCTCCGTGTCCGTGGCTGAAAAGTGTCGTGTACCGTGGCTCCGTGTCTTTATCCAAGGCAAGCCGCTCTATTTTTTGAAGTCTGATCTAGATCTTGCTCAGGGAGCAGTGGTGAGGCTGATCTAAGGGATTCGTTGGATGGACAAGGATGTTTGTCCTTGATTTTGAAGCTGGTTAGGCGGCTTGCGCCCTTTTACCAACAAGCTCCACACTGAAATTTTTCAAACACTGCTGAATGTCCAATACAATGATTCCTGTGTGATGGTGTGGCCGAGTCCAGCTTAGGATGATGGACTTTGAGCGAACGCGCTGAAAAGAGCTTGGCACAGCTTGCAACACTGACAATACAATCACCATCAACCACCTGTACATGACATGTTAAGACCCAAATGTTTTTAACTCACACCTCAATGGGGGGAAATCTCCTTTTATATATAAAAGAACAATTGAATTGATCTATTGCGTTGCGTATAGGCGGACTTCTGTCCTGTTTTCCAGCTTCACGGCTGAAATATAGATCCCCGGGGTCGGCGGCAGGGGGCGGAGCCCTTACAATTTATCTTTGTTCGCTTAAAAGACTTCAGCCCAGCCCATCGGTTGGCTTTCTTGCAAAGTAGCACAACAAAATCCTGTGGTGTCGATTTTTGTTACTTCCGTATTTTGATTTTTGTCACTTCTGCGCGATTTTTTCTATCGCGAACTTGCTACATCTTTCTGCATCATGTTTCCCCGCGAGACGGAAACAACACACATCTTCTCAAGTTCCAGGTATGTATAGTATGTATTTGTCTAACAAACTGCTCCGCCTAGAACCTGTGCGTTGATTCGCACTTGGGCTCCACCGGAGGAAGACCTCAAGAAGAGAAGGCATCAATTGCAGCGATTGGCTCATGAAAAATCTAGCTGACCAGCGACTTGACCATGGATATGGATCAACACATTCTTTCCTATCATTCACATGCATAACCAGCTATACATAGCTTTACTGCTTCCCACAGATGCAGTGACACAACATGTGTGTGATGTGAAAAACTGTTGGGATTGGAGGCGCCAGTGATGGGCACCCAACATTGGCCCATGGCCAGTTCCCAGCAAGTTGACATACCTCTCGCTGGCGCGCCATGCGAGCAGGGGGTTTCCCCCACTTGACGCTTTAGGCGCCGGATGGTGGAAGCGCGGTCAGTTACAGTACGGGTGTTGTTCGGGACTCAAGTCGTCAATTCAAGATTCAAGATTGATTTTTGTCGATTCCTTCTAGTTGAACTTGATATGATACATTACTTGTCAGGTTTGGCCGCACATGTTTGACACCGAGTGCTTTTCATCTGAACATACCTACCTACCCCTTAACCCTGGACTTCTTTTTGAGGGCACACGAAACCACCAACTTATACTCACTTCGACACTAGGAGGACAGGGGGTGGACTCGAAATATGTCATGAACTTTTTAAGGAAATATCCCCTCAACCTCAAAAAATTCAAGGGCTAGGGGGTGGGATGGGGTGGGTGTTGATTGTCTTTTCCCTACCCTTTCATGGCTTTGGTCCTCCATTCGCTGCATCTGTCCGTCCCGTCGCACGCCCGAGCGGTGGAGAGGCGAAGCCTTGGTGCGGTGAGACACGTCGACCGAAGCGGTTCAGAGGTGCGCCCGGGCCAAGAGGTGCCAGAGAAGGTCAACCCTGCTCTTTTTTTTGGACTCATGGCCTCTAGGCGTTTCCCGGACTCACGCTGAGGAAGGTGCTTTTTGCATGGAAAAAAACGATGCCTTTTTGAGGCACTGAGGATCGAACTTGCACAAATCCCGTTGGAAGGTCCTGCGACGTGAAAGGCGTGACGCCGAGTTTTTAACACAATTTGCCGAGATGTAGAGCACATTCAGTAGATGGAAGAATGACCTGGCAGTTGAACACTACCATGGTTGCTGAAACCAAAAGAAACCCAAACCCCGGATCGGCCTGTGCATGTCAATCGCCTGCTCTCGTTCTCTGCTCGTCTGCTCCACATACCTGAGCGCCGCGAGCGGCTCAGAAGAAGCTGGTCACCCGAGCAGTTCCGGCTTTGCGTTGGGGGCAAGAATCAATCATTACTTACGAACGGTACATTGAAAAACTCAAGGTAATGCAGTTGACATTGAATAGACATGGTCAGCTTATGTCAGCTTGTTTCAAGAGTCAGGGAGAATCAACAACAATGGAAAATCCCAGACGTCAACAGGTTTGAAATTGAATTCTCACTTCAAGGTTCGAAGTTGCAAGGGTGTGGTCACCTGTGTTTGCCTTCCAGTTTTGGACCCACAGCAATCTGCTGTCATATTGACGTCATATTGCTGAGTGGGCGGATATCCATGAAAAGAACATCGCTGAGTGCCAGGCAGCTTGGTTTTCTTTGGCACATCCAAAGGTATGTCCTCAAAACGCAATTTCCAATCATGTGCATCTCAAAACTTACCTCGACTCTATGTGGGCGATGGAAAAATGATAGAAATGGAAAGTAGATGAAAGCTCCTTGGGTCAAAGGTTTCTTTTTCTCATGTGACGGGAGAGGTGTACCCACGAACCCTATGGGCTAGTTTCCTGCCCCCTCAAAACGTGTAGGGCGTCAGGCGTGCGTACTTCGACGACGCTTGTCGTCGAGGAATCCACTCGATTTAGATCTGTCCAACGGGAAGGTGGCGGACCTAACATGGTCTAATGTAGGCAGCAAGTGACGTGAGACCTTTGAACTGGAAGCAAAAGCAGCTTACCTGGAAACTGTTTCTTTTTGTGCTGGACAGCCACTTGCCCCCCCCCCTTCCTGCTTTAGCCAAGCCCAGTCCTGCTCAGGTGGAGGACCGACATTGATCGATGCACCATCCAAATTGGCATTTCTCTGGAGAATCTTCACCTGACCGCAGGTCTTCGACTTAGCTATCGACTGCTCGCATCTTTGTTGATCAAGGTGATCTCAGGTCTTAGCTCCACACAGAAAAGCGTCCCAAGTCAATTGTTGACACGACGCTTAAACACATGTTGAAATTGGAAGGACAACTCAAGGATTTTACGCTTCTATCTTCTATTACTTGAGGGACATCGACCGGCTAGGACCGCCACTGTAGCTCTGTAGCTATTACGGGGCCGAAACGGAATGTTCTGTCCTTCTTTCTTGCTCTTTGGAACATGGCTTTGCCAGTTCAAAAGACTGCAGCCACCACTGAGTATACTGAGTTTGTGACCATCAAAGCTCCTGACTTGAAGCTCAGCACCTGAGCCGCCCATGAAGATCGTTTTCGCCTCGTCTCAGTGTGCTTAAAGTTTCTTGGAGGACTGCCTCAAGTCAACTCAATCCTCGTTTTGAAGGAACATCATAGACTCCAAACTCTCTAATGACTCTAATGTACAAAACGAGGCAAAACCAGGTCCCGCGGTCCCCTACTCCGATCCAAAACCCTCGACCGGGGCCAGCACCATCGAGCCTTCCTCTCGACCAAAGGTCCCAAGCCGAATCCCAGAGACGACGTCATTCCTCAGGAGCGTCGTGCATATACGGAGGGCTCGTACGGAGGGCGCGTCGTTCACCGAAAGTGATGATGCCCACGGCCCAAAGTTATGTCGTCACAAGCGGTCTCCGTACTCATGTACGCAGTTACTCGCAGAGCTCATGAACGGTATCCAAGCAACGGGACCTGAACAATGGGAGTAGCATAGTTACATAGCTCTATGATATTCTATATCATTCATTCTCGTCCGGGGTTTTAGCATGTTTTAGCAATTGCCAAGCCCCGAGCGTTTCCACTGTGGCTATGAGGTGTTTTCCATTGTAGAGCCGCACCTGTGCAACCAACAAAGGATGTCATGAACATGCATGTTGGCCCTCCCTGTTTTGGAAACAACTCCAAAATTGAACACGAACTGTTGCAGTGTTCCAACCGGGCATGTTGGGCTTCACAGCGATCGCCCGGTGACTCGAGCGGTTCGTCGTTTCCGCCCGGGTGGGCAAAGGTGGTGTCTTCCGCCCGGGTGGGCGGGCCCACGCCTCACCATTCTGTAAAGCAACCACCAAGGCCTGTGGTCACAGTGAGGCGAAGGTGATGTTTTGACCGTCTTTTTCGGGGCAAAACCCTCTCGAGTGACTGACGGACTCCTGGGCTCGTTGGAGATCCTTTTTGGGTGCAAGGCACAGAAAAAACATCAAGAAAGAGTGCTTTGGTGGAGGCCTCTCATGGCTTTTTTGGCACTCCACCATTCCACCTCTCCTTAGAGCCATGTATCCAATCCCACCGGAGGATTCACATGTCTTTTCAATACAAAACTTTTTGTCCGAGGCTCTGGAACATCGGGGTCTTTTCCATTATTTCTTTTATGTTTTCGATTCACGGCTTGGATCACGATCGAAAGAGTCCTGTTGGTAAAACCCAGCTAGTTCAAGTTCCACAAATACATCGGCCAATCCGCCAGCTGCAGCCCCGCCTTTGCCACTCGCGACTTGGTGATCTGCAAAAGAGACATGCAGGAGATTGGGCATGGCCTCAGGACAATGGAACGGTACCAAAACCGAGCCACGAGGGCTTTGGTACACAAATGGTATACAAGACAATTAACACATGATAACACTATAATTAACTATTTTCCCCTTGTGAGTCTGAGTGGGGCATCTACTTTCTACTGTGGCCTAGAAAGCTTCCACCAACGGCTTTCCCAGCCCTTATGGCTTGCAATCATCTCACTAATGGACGCCAATCAGCTTGCAAGCACATCGCAGAATGCTCTTGGTTCCCTCCCCTCAGACTTCCGTTACTTTCTTTCTAGCCAAAGCGCTGGTGAGTGCAGTCACTCAGTCCAAGACAAGTAGATCGAGTGATTCTTCTTGCCCTTGAAGTGGAAACAGTGAATCACCTCTGCGAGTCAGTTTCAGTCGAAACCTGCGAGTCGTTTGTTTCTGTTGAACCTGCGATTTGAGACAGAACTATGGAGATACTGACACATGGGCAAGCAACAAATACTGGTAGGCCATTCTGGTTATCTATCCACAGCAAGAGAGATCGGACTGGAGGAAGAAATAAGCAAAGGCTTACAAAGGCAAACAGCAACTTCTAATCCTGGAAATCTGAGCAATTTGCTTATTGAAACCGGGTTTTGGGCAAACTCCATCAAATATCCTGGTGGCTAGATCACCAGAGTCAAGCTGAGAAGGCTGCATTGTCCATGCAACCGACGTATACATTCTTGTCCTTAGCTTCGGCAACTGGTTCACTGAAGCTGTGGCATGCTTCGGCTTTCAATGTAGCCTGTCCAAGAATGCCAAACCTTTACCACAACTTGAGAAAACAAACATACCGTGGCGGCAACCGCTAGGCCCCCCTGCAAATCTCACAAGCCCCACAGGCTGCGTCTCTAGTTCAATGACATTGCTAAGCACCTTCCACAAAACGACAAGTTAAACGTTGTAGCGTGGTCGTCTACGAAGACCAAACAATGCTGCACTCTAAGCACCCCCCTTGCTCAGTAAGAGTGGGTATGGCAGGGTAGACTCTCTGTACATCAGAAACTGGCGCCATTGCTTTAGTTGTGAGTTTGATCCACATCTAATGCCTTCCCTCAGATTCCCAATAAGATGCGGTTTGGGCTCCTAGAACCTTGAACCAGGCCTGTCCATTTTTGACGGTGTAGATGTTGCCATCTCTGCAAGCCACTGTTATCCTGCCCCGACCAAAAGGACAAGAACAATGACAAACAGCCAGATTAGATAAACTTTTGATCAGATTCACATGGAAGCTGACACAAGGGCCCTTAGGTGTACACGACATGAGTTGTCGAGGTTTGTGTGGACATGAGAACATCGGTCCAGTTCCTGGGTATTTTCACAAACCTACACCCCTCCAACAAACATGGACACAAGAAAACTAAGGAAGGCATGGGAAAACGATCTCTTCCCGCTCTTCCTGGAATTTCTATATTTGCTACATGTTACCTTCTTGACCCAATGATATATTTTGCTGCGGATGGCGTCGGAGCCACGTGCGAATCGGAAAAGCTTCCGCCAAAGGGGGTGTCAGACTGCTGCGGCCCTGACTGTTGAAGCCTCCAAACAGTTCAAGATCGATGCGAAGGCCAGTCCTGTACTCAACATCAAAGAGTCCGAGCACAGAGATGAAGGTCGGCACAGCTTCCAACTTCACCTGACTTTTCATAGCACTGCGACTCACAGGTCAAAGCGCTTCTCTGGTTTACAGAAGTCGTGTTGTTTCAAGGGCCTCAAGGATTCCGTTCTCCAAGAACGACGGAGGCTGCACCGCTCCCCGTGTCACCACGAGCTCTCAGGACTTGGCCTTGGCGGCGAGGTTTAAGGCATCGCTGTTCAGGATGTAGATCATCCTGTTCAACGGCTGCCAAGACTTGGACAAACCACTCGAAGGCCTTCAACTCACATGATTCATCATTATTCGATGCATTTCCATGCAAAGAATAGCAAAAGACATGATAAAAATGATGCAGTATAGTTTATATCTATATAAATATCTATAAATATGTCACTTCACTCCCTCACGCATACACCTATTTCTTTCGTGGTTGCGC